CACAGTTCATTTGGGGGATGGAGAGGGGACATGAAGCAGGAAGGGTAGATGGTGAGGCCACAGGACCACCTTTCCCTGAATCAGGTGTTGTCTGTAGCTCCACAGGAGCCCACCTAGCTCAGCCCCATGGACAGGCTCCTGAATGGCCTCCCTGGTGCTGACCCAGCTGCCCTGTGCTCACTGACCCTGGTCCAGATGGCCATGATCACCTATGAGAGAGACAATATAGCAATCTTGTGTGTGCAATGGTATCAGCAGAGGCAGGACAGGACCCTGGCCGGTCAAATATGATAATAACAAGCTTCCCTCAGGGATTCTCTGATGATAAGACTCCAATTTGGAAGACACAGCCACCCTAAACCCCACCAGGACCAGGGCCAAGGACAAGTCTGATTATTACTGTCAGGTGTGGGACAACAGTAATGCTAACAGTGACAAGCAGACAGGGTTGTGAGACACAAACCCCTTTCCTATCTGTGTCACACTCTCCTTCAGGACCTGGAGGACTGAGGACAAAGCACAGAGGTCTGATCCAGGGCTCCAGGTCTGAGATTCCCACACCTCTCTCCCAACACAGTCCTCTAGGCAGCCTTTGCACCGTGTGGATCAGGGGAGCCTGTGCAGGAGGCGGGATGAGGCTGTCATGTTTTCTTGCCTAGGATACTTGCTGGGGATGAAAGATCGGGCTGGAAGGACAGACAGATGTCCATGGAGACAAGACAAGCTCAAAGTGACAAGGGGATGTCTCACCTTTCCATTGAATAGAAGCATTGTGGTGTTTCAGGAAGGAAGCAATTCTCATTTGGAACTAAGACCTCAAGGGCAGCAGAGTATACAGTCATGGTACAAGGAGTGAAAATTTTACAGTGGGTCACCCGAATGTCAGTGTGTATGGACATTCCCAATTCCACCTCTTCATTCCTGGACCCATCAATGCTGGCTATGGGAGAAATGCCATCTAATATAGGGTACATATTTAGTGCAAATATCATCTCCTGACATATCTTGCCACAGTCCCATAAGGTGCTGCATGTGACTGGACAGTAAACAAATCTACTAGAGTCCATAAGTCCATCAATCAAGCCAGTTGATTCGAACGTTGGGGAACATGGTAAAACGAGAAAATTCCATGGGCATCATCACACTGCAGCCCTTTTCTGATATGAAATGTGAGCCTTGGACAAAAGCCACACTGGATGAGGCATTCAGTAAGTCCAAGGGTTACAGTTTGGGAAGGAACATGTCAGGAAAAGAAAGCAAGTTCCTATCCAGAGTAAAGGTCTATTCCACTAAGGACAGAGCAATCCCTTCCATGATGGAAGAGGTCTAATGTCATTCATCCGCCACGAGGCTCCTGGCTGATTCCCCAGGGAATGGTTTCATTCTGGGAACACTAGATTGGTCCCAATCTTGGCAGATAGGTCCCACTGAAGTGGCCATATCTATATCAGTCTTATGAGTGAACAAACCTAAAGATTATCCTATTAATAACCTACCAAGGTGCAGCACAGCCACTTTAATATAGGGCCCCTGAACAAGTTCAAAGGAGGATGGACAAGAAGACTCACCACTGTCTGCTGAATGTCACATTATCCACCTGATGATGAACACCATTTCCCTCTGAGGACACACTCCTGTGGGCATTTTCATGGAACACAAATAGCTCTATATTCATTTGGGGGTGGGGTCTACTCACATGTCTCTTCCTCAAACATCTTTCACCACTTTCCTTTTTGTGTTTCTTCCAACTCTCTAACCATCCAGTCAAACTGAGTCAGAGAACATAGGTTAGAAATAAGCCACTCTGTCCTTCTCTCTGTCCAGGTGAATTAAAAAAGCACTCTGCTCAAATGTAGCCTTATTGAAAAAATTTCCATATTCCGCAGCGGTGTCCTAGATGAGGGCTGCAGGACTACTATTATTAACCAGCAAAGTTGGATGCACATCACACAGGAACCTCTTAAACCAACCATGGCTTTTCCTCTGGATCAGCTGTTCATAGGATTGTCCCCACTGGGTCATAATTGTGCCAGACAGAGCAGAGACAATGCAGTATAGGTTGGGGTCCTGGCCATCAGGCCTTTTCCTCATGCAACTGGCCTGTGCCTTCAGGACATAGGGAAGCCTGATCTCAAATTTACCTCCTCTGCTGGATGATGGAGAGCTGCTGTGACTGTCCAGTTCCCTAGCATGGTTGATCTGAAAACACTCATTTCATGCAAGCAGCTTGATCACATAGTAACTTAGTGGCTAATAAGGAGCATACAGTCTCTGTTAAGATTCAGTAACAAGCCAAAGCATGTGTCAGTTGGAACTTTCTAATAAAAGAGATGCACAAAAAATTGGTAAGCTGTCCATATATTTCACTTCTATGAACACTGCCATTCACTGATATCAGTGTGTTCTGTCAGATGAGTCTGATTGCTAACTTGGTCCTGTCATTCAATATGGTAACAAAACACACCTTATCATTGGTGGTAATATGGAACTGCATGTCTCCTAAAAATGCAAAGACCCCCAAAACTACTACTTTGGCACCCCATCCAGAATTCAGAATCACTAGAAAACGTATGTGTTTATACCATACGTAAGGGTATATATGTACTCAAATACATTTCCAACATATACACAGCAGACACAATTTGTATATACATGCACAAGCACTCACAAGTATATTCATACATATGTATGTGTATCAGTATATGATAGAAAGGAGTGCGTGACAGGAATTGGATGTCATGTGGAAACACACACACACAGGTGTGCCACACAGAAGCCACAGTGACTGTCAGCTACAAACAGGCTCCAGCGTCCCACTCAGTTTTCAGGGAGCTTCACATGGGGCTTCTCTTGTGACTCACCTTCCCTGGAAACATACAACAGAATTCTAACACATCACACCTGTCACTCAGTTTTGAACATATGAAAAAATATCACCTTGGAACTCAACTAGCTTTGAATCACAGACACCTAAGTTCCTCACTGTCCCTGCATTCTCAGACAAAGCAGACTCTTTCCATGGGACTGACTCCAAACACACTTCAGTTCTTGTTCCTTCTTTCCATCCTGGCAGCAGCCCCACAGTCCCTTTGCAGAGAAGCCTCCTCCCGCCTCTCCATACACATGACCAGCCTGTCATTTTGTCTGATATCACTTCATTCTCTGCACATCAACCAACACTGTCCAGGTTCTCCTATCATTTAATTAATTGATTGTTTCATATGAGTTTTTATCCCAAATGGTCAGGAAGTTTTAATGAAATACATGCCCATCTCAATCAGGGGCATGAACATTCAAGCATCTATTTTCCTGCGGACAGAAGGAAGTCTGAAGACAGATGGTGGTTCTCCAGGTACTACCAGTTCTGTGAGGTACCAAATCCTCTCACTGTCTCTCACCACCACTACTATGGAGGCTTTGCTTTACCTTGTTGTTGACAACAGACCTCGGGATGGCTGCTGCAGTTCTAGCTATGACTCATGAGTACAAGAGAAAGAGGCCTGCATAAATCTAGTCTCTTTCATTCACAGACAAAACTCTCCAGAAAGATTCCCAGCAGAATGACACATCGATGCGATAGCTCTGTGACACAGGGCCACTGCTGACCTAGACATACATAAGATTGGCAATAGTGGGGCTTCTTAATGTTTATAGGAGACAAGATGAAGGTAGACGGGGTTAGTGATGGTGTGCTGTCTCACCAAAGCAACTGTGTCCCCAGTGCTGTGCTGCCCAAGGCAGGAACCCAAGAAACACTTATGTCTTATTTACACTGATTTTTAGGGTGGAACCTATGGAAGACGAAGCTGGATCTGAATAAATGTTTCTTGGGTGACTGTCCTCTTGTTTTTCCCTTCAAGGTTGGAGCCATCATCACACTACTTGATGCTCCAGCAGCCAGATCAAGTGAGACAGTCCCTGATTCCTGTGTCTCCTGGTGTTCAGGCCTTAAACCACACCCATGACCACCACCACCAACCCAAAAAGATGAGCCCTGAGGCCTCAAATGGGTCCTACCTTCTCTTCACGTGAACCTCTTCCTATTTTCATGGGAAATCTGACACCTCCTGCCTGCTCTCGAGGCTTTCAGGGGTCCCAAAGAGAAGAGCAAATCCTCTCCTGGGGCCAGCAGTGCATGGTTCAGGGGAATCAGGGTGTGACCACTGGGTCATGAATCTCCCCACCTGGACAAAGGAGTTCCCTGCACTTCCAGCTGCCAGTGTGGATCCGCCACTAGGGGGCAGAAGAGATCACCTGACAAACCCTCAGGGATTCCAACTGGGAGGATTGGTTACCAGGACCCAAGACCAGAAGCTAAAGGTGTAAGTTTACTACACTATCACCTTTGCTCTGATGTAAAATTCTGACTTGGAGTCTCTCATCACTACCCTGTGGAATTTGTCTTGGGCTCTAGCACACGTCCAGGACTTCATGACACTCCACCCCACCCCATTAGTGCTACACTCAGTCACTGTCAATCCTTGCTCAAGCACTGGGACTGTCCCTGGCAGGGAGGGCACCCTGAGGATACCAAGGCACAGCATCTATGACCTGCCCCAGGAGCTCTCCCTTGGCACAGACTCCTAGAGCAATATCAATGATTCCCTAAAACTCCATGTGTACCTGGCAAAGGAGGGATTTTGTACCGGTTCTGATGTTCACAATATAAACCAAGAGTAGGACACACACTGACCTATGATCCTCTAGTACCTACAGAGGAAACATTCTATGATGGGTTCAGAAAATGCAGACAGACTCCACCTCACAGCTCTGCTGTGAGCATGCCTGCCCAGAAGACAGGTCAGGACATGGAGAGGCATAGATTTTGGACCCCAGACTATAGGGACACAGGGTGAAATAAAATCCCCTGGGTTCAAGGCGGGTCCCAAGGGGCTGCCCCTCGAATCTCTGTCTCTTGGAGTTGAGCCCATTTCTAAAACCACAAACTCAGAGCTCTGGCTCATTTGCATAACCAGCAGCTGTCTCTAGCAAGGGGATAAGAGAGGCCTGGGAGGAAATCTGCCCAGCCTTGAGCCTTAGGGAGAAAAATCAAGGGACCTGCACCATGGCCTGGATCCCTCTCCTCCTCGGATTCCTGGCTCACTGGGCAGGTGCTAAGGCCAGGCTCACCCCCATCCCAGCCCCGGGTTCTGGGACACTCCTGGCCCTGATTCTGAGCTCAAAAATGGACTGTCAGTGGGCGGCAGGGGAGGAGACAGGATGATCAAGACCCTGCTGTGGGATGACAGGCTGGTGATAAACCCCCACTGTGCTCCCTGGCTCCCTGTTAGACAAAGGGCTGTGCCTGCCCAAAGAAATAGGGTGGGTGCTTTTCATTTGTTCAAAGGCTCAATCTACCAGACAGGTAGGCCCAGGACCTAAGATGACAGCAGAGTGGAAATGGCCTAAGGAATTGAGAGAGCTCAAACCAGGCAGGTGGCATACATAGGGGATGATACCCTGGCTGGAATCCCACCTCTCATCTTCTCTCTTGCAGGATCCGTGGCCTCCTATGTGCTGACTCAGCCTCCATCGATGTCAGTGAACCTGGGACAGACGGTCAGGATGACCTGTGGGGGAAACAACATTGGAAGAAAAAATGTTCAGTGGTACCAGCAGAAGCCGGGTCTGGCCCCTGTGCTGATTATCTATGGTGATAGCTACCGGCCCTCAGGGATCCCTGAACGGTTCTCAGGCACCAAATCGGGGAACACGGCCACCCTGACCATCAGCGGGGTCCGGGCCGAGGACGAGGCTGAGTATTACTGTCAGGTATGGGACAGCAATGCTGATGCTCACAGTGACACAGACAGATGGGGAAGTGAGGCACAAACCCCTTCCCCATCTGTGTGGCATGCTCCTCCAGTCTCAGGAGACCTGCGCACAGAGCAGGGAGCACTTCTGGTCCAGATCCCCTCATCTGAGATCCCCATACCTCCCTCCCCATCCAGCTCTCCAGGCAGCTCTGCAGAGGGGCGTCAGGAGAGCATTTACAGCTGATGGCACTAGATTGCCTGCTTCTCTGGGCCTGGGTGTCATCTACAGACAGAGGGACTGGGTAGAAAAAAGACACAGGGAGACTTTCATCCAGTGGGCATGATCTCATCATTTCCATGTGTGGTCATGGGCTACTGCCCTCCCAACTGAACAGTATTAGAGCCAACATGTCCCAGCTCAGCTGAGCTCCTGAAGCCCTGGGGACATGGGTGGAGACACTTCTACCACAGTGGAACAGACAGGTACAGTGGACACTGAGGTGTCACCCACATCTCTGGGGCTCTCTATTCTATTCCACTGATCTACGTGTCTTTTTTTCTGCCAGTACAAACTGTCTGGTTGATTACATCTTTGTAATAGAGCTTGAAGTCCAGAATTGTGATGTCACAAGCTTTGGTTTTCATTCTCAACATTCCCCTGGTTATTCTGGATCTTTTCTAGTTCTATACAAATGCTAGGATTACTTGTTCCAGCTCTGTTTAAAATGTCAATGGTATTTTGTCAGGGGCTTCATTGAATGTGTAGATTGCTCTGGGTAGCATAGACCAAGAATATGTATTCTTCCCACTCATTAACATGGAATGATTTTGCATTTCATTGTGTCTTTTCCCAGTTTTTTTCATAAGTGTCCTGTAGTTTTTAGAATATGTATCTCTGACCTTTTTGGATGGGTTTATTCCTAGGTATCTTAAGATTTCTGGTACTACTATAAATAGGATGGATTCCTTAATTTCCCTTTCTTTGTCTCATTGTTCGTGTATAAATATGCAACTGATTTCTGTGCATTGATGGTATATCCTGGCACATTGTTGAATTGCTGAATGAGTTCTAGCAGTTTTGGAGTGGAGTCTTGGGTTCTCCACATAAAGTATCATGTCATCTGTAAAGAGTGAGAATTTAACCTCTTCTTTGCCACTTTGAATGCTTTTGTTTCTTTTTGCTGTCTGATTGCTGAAGCTAGGACTTCTATTACTATTTTGAACAATAGTGCTGAGAATTGACACCCTGTCATCTTCCTGAACTTAGGGAGAAAGCAGTGTTTTTCCCCATTGAGAATGATATTCATGGTGCGTATTTTCTATATTACTTTGATGATATTGAGGTATGTTCTCTCTATCCCTACACTCTAGAGAGTTTTAACCAAGAAAGGATGCTATACTTTGTCAAATGCTTTTTCTGCATCAACTGAGAGGATTATACAGTTCTTGTCCTTTCTTTTATTTATGTAGTATATCACCTTTATTGATTTGCAAATGTAGAACCACCTTTGCATCCCAGGAATAAATCTTACCTGGTCATAGTGAAGAATCCTTTTAATGCACTGTTTCATCCTAATGGCTAGTATATTGGTGAAAAGTTGGCATCCAGATTCATCAAAGATATTGGTCTGTAATTCTTGTTGGTGAGTAATTCTCCTTGTCTTATTCTGGGATCAGGGCAATGCAGGCCTCATAGAACGAGTTTGGAAGTTTTCCTTCTGTTTCTATTTTTTGAAACAGTTTCAGAAGAATAGGTAGTGATTCTTCCTTAAATGTTTGGTAGAATTCCCTTGGGAAGCCATCTGGCCCTGGACTCTTGTGTGTTGGGAGATTATTGGTTACTGCTTCAATTTCCTTGTTGGTTATGGGTATAGTCGTGTTTTCTATTTCTTCCTCTTTCCATTTCAGTAGTTTATGTTTCTAGGAAATTATCCATTTCTTCCAAATTGCCTAATTTGTGGCATATATGTGCTCATAATATGTTCTTAAAACTGTATTTCCTTGGTGTTGTTCATGATCTCTCCTCTTCTGTTCATGATTCTATTTATTTGGGTCCTTTCTCTTTCCTTTTTGGTAAGTCTGCCTAGGGGTATATTGATCTGCTCAATTCTTCAGAGAACCAGCTTCTAGTTTCCTTGATCTGTTCTACTGTTCTTTTAGTTTCTCTTTCATTGATTTCTAGTCTAATCTATATTATTTCTCATATGCTCCTTCCTTCAGGCTTTATTTGATACTCTTTGTCCAGATCCATTAGGTATAAATATAGTTTGTGTGTTTGTGAGTTTTCTACTTTCTTGCGATTATCTTCTATAACTATGTATGTTCTGCGTGGAACCACCTTTGTTGCAATTCAAAGGTTTTGAACTGTTGTGTTTTTGTTTTAATTTGCTTCCATGAACTTTTTAAATAATTCTCTAATTTCCTGGCTGACCCATTCATTCATTCATAGGCTGCTCTTTAACCTCCATGTATGGGAGTTCCTCCCAAATTTCCTCTAGTGACTGAGTTCAACGTTCAAAACACTATGGTCTGAAAAACTGCCGGGAATAATAATGCTTAGGTGCTGGTTGGGGCCTGATTTGTGAACCAGAAAGTGATCTATTCTGGAGAAAGTTCCATATGCCCTTGAGAAGAATGTGTATTATGTTGCTTTAGGATGGAATTCTCTGTATATATATGTGAAGTCCATCTGGTCCAGTATGTCATTGAAAGCCCTTGTTCCCTTGTTGATCTTCTATTTAGATGATCTGTCCATTGCTGTGAGTAAGAGGTTAAAGTCCCCTACTATTGTTATATTATTATCAGTGTGTTTCTTTAAGTTGGTCATTAACTGGTTTATATAATTGACATTTCCGAGGTTAGGAGAAAAAATATTTATAATTGTTAGATCTTCTTGTTAGATAGACACTTTAAGGATGATATAGTGTCCCTCTTCATCCCTTGCTACAATCTTTGGTTTGAAATCAATTTCTCTGATAGGAGGATTGCTACTCCAGCTTTTTTGATGTGCATTAGCATGATAAATATTTCTCCACTGCCTTGCTTTCTTTTTTTATTTTTTTTTTTACCTTGGAAATCAGTGGGTTTTTTTTTTTATTTCTTTTCACCATAACAGTATTCATTGTTTTTTTGCACCACACCCAGTGCTCCATGCAATACATGCAATACCCACCACCTGGCTCCCCCAACCTCCCACCCCCCGCCCCTTCAAAACCCTCAGGTTGTTTTTCAGAGTCCATAGTCTCTCATGGTTCATCTCCCCCTTCCAATTTCCCTCAACTCCCTTCTCCTCTCCATCTCCCTATGTCCTCCATGTTATTTGTTATGCTCCACAAATAAGAGAAACCATATGATAATTAACTCTCTCTGCTTGACTTATTTCACTCAGCATAATCTCTTCCAGTCCTGTCCATGTTACTACAAAAGTTGGGTATTCATCCTTTCTGATGGAGGCATACTACTCCATAGTGTATATGGACAACATCTTCCTTATCCATTCGTCCGTTGAAGGGCAACTTGGTTCTTTCCACAGTTTGGCGACCATGGCCATTGCTGCTATAAACATTGTGGTACAGATCACTGCCTTACTTTCAATATGGAATTATTTTTGGTTCTAAAATGAATCTCATATACACTGCATATGGATGGGTCTTTTTTTTTTAAATCAAATCTGTTATCTAATGACTTTTGATTGGATCATTTAGTCCATTTACATTCAGCATAAATATTGAAAGATATGAATTTAGTGCCATCGTATTACCTTTAAAGTCACTGTTCCTGTATATTGTCTCTGTTCCTTTCTGGTTTATGTTACTTTTGGGTTTTCTCTTCACTTACAGGATCCCCTTTAATACTTCCTTCACGGCTGGTTTTATGACAACAAATTCTTTTAGTTTCTGCTTGTCCTGGAAGCTCCTTATCTTTCCTTCCATTCTGAATGAAAACCTTGCTGGATAGAGTATTCTTGGCTGCATTTTTTCTCATTTAGTACCCTGAGTATATCCTGCCATGCTTTTCTGGCCGGCTGGGTCTCTGTGGATAGTTCTACTGCCTATCTAATGTTTCTATTCTCATAGGTTATGGACCTCTCATCTCAAACTGCTGTCAGGATTTTTGCTTTATCTCTGAAATTTGTAAGCTTAACTATTATAGATTGGTGTGTTGATCTATTTTTATTGATTGGGAGGTCCTCTGTGCCTCTGGAACTTGAATGCCTGTTTCATTCTCCAGATCTGGGTACTTCTCAACTATGATTTTCTCAACTACACCTTCTGTCCCTCTCTCCCTCTTTCTTCTTCCTCTGGGTCCCCAATTATTGTAATAGTCTTCCACTTTACGGTATTGCTGATTCCTCAAGGCATCCTCTCATGACTCATTAATTTTTCTTCCCTCTTTTCCTCATCCTCCTTATGTTCCATTTTCATCTTCTATGTCACTGACTCTCTTCTGCCTCATTTACTCCCGTTGTTAGAGTACCCATTTTCGACTGCATATCATTTAAGGCCTTTATTTCCTTGTTGATCTTTTGCTTAAATGATCTGTCCATTTCAGTGAGGGGAGTGTTAAAGTCCCCTACTATTATTGTGTTATTGTCGATGAATTTCTTTGATTTTGTTATTAATTGGTTTATATAGTTGGCTGCTCCCAATTTAGGGACATAGATATTTAAAATTTTTAGGTCTTCTTGTTGGGCAGACACTTTGAGTATTATATAGTGTCCTTCCTCATCTCTTATTATAGTCTTTGGCTTAAAATCTAATTGATCCAATATAAGGATTGCCAACCCAGCTTTCTTCTGATGTCCATTAGCATGGTACATTGTTTTCCACCCCCTCACTTTAAATCTGGAGGTGTCTTAGGGTCTAAAATGAGTTTCTTGTAGGCAGCATATTGATGGGTTTTGTTTTTTTATCCATTCTGATACCCTGTGTCTTTTGATTGGGGCATTTAGCCCATGAACATTCAGGATAAATATTGAGAGATATGAATTGAGTGCCATTGTATTGCCTGTAAGGTGACTGTTACTGTATATTGTCTCTGTTTCTTTCTGATCTACTACCTTTAGGGTCTCTCTTTGCTTAGAGGACCCCTTTCAATATTTCTTGTAGAGCTGGTTTGGTATTTGCAAATTCTTTCAGTTTTTGTTTGTCCTGGAAGATTTTTATCTCTCCTTCTATTTCCAATGATAGCCTCGCTGGATATACTGTTCTTGGCTGCATGTTTTTCTCATTTAGTGCTCTGAAT